ATGACCAGAGCATAAGATTTTGAGTAGACATACGTCATTTATAACTTGTAAATCATAACTATATATCGGTTGCAAACATCAAACGAATAAGTTTGTCAAAATTTGTAGACTAAGGATCATTCATTATTCATGTGGGATGCAGGCAAGAGTTCATGAAAGGTCATTAGAAATATGTCAACAAAAGGCTAGATATCCATATAGGGGACAATTATTTTTGCTCTTAAAATGAGTGAGTCGAGAGGTTTTATTTTACTAAAAGACGCCGTTTGACACTAGACAGCCCTTGGCATAAATAATCAATGGACCCTTCTATGGACATTTAATGAGCAAGAAATGGAGATTTCATTTCTATTGACTTACCAATAGCACTTGTTGAGGGGTGAGGAGTAGTGGTTTCAACAGGTAATGTCACGGTTATCACATTAACACCCAACAAACTGCTTCCATCTTTATTTTTCGCAGTGACATGAAAGCTGTACGTCTTGCCTGGAAGAAGGTCTTTTACCGTGTATGTGAGCGGTTCACCTGAAAGTGTGCCAACCTGTGACCATTTGTCAGCACCAGCAAGTTTCTTGTAGATTGTGTAGTATTGTATTTCACCTCCATTCTCTTCTGGTTTTGACCAACTTAATGTCACTGTTGTAGGACTTACTCCAATTATTTTCAAAACAGGTGAACCTGGTGGTCCTAAATCAATACGAACAAAAATAAAAAATATAAATAAGATTAATCGATCAGGTCAAACAATATATTACACATAATCAATATTTCCCCGAGTCCTGAAAAGTGGTCCTAAAGAAAGGACAAACAAAAAAATAAAAATTGCAAGACAATGTGATCGTATTTGTAGCTAGAAAAGCAAAAGATACAATGAGATGAATAAACATATTGCAGTGCAAACTTTCCCCGCTAACCCCCCAAAACGATGATCTCTGCTAGTATCGTCACAATAAAATTTCTAAATCCAGTAGAAATGGTGGATTCGTGCTAACTACATTAATTGTAACAAAAGCATGTCTGGCTAATCCAGAAAAAAGTAGAATATGTTTTGTTGTACCTTCCTTTTTAGTGGTAAAAGTCTTACTCGAGGCATTCCCATAACCTGCAACATTTTTTGCGTACAATTTTACAACATAAATTTTGTTTTTGGAGAGACCAGGAATAGTGAAATGCTTATGTTTCCAGGAAGCGATGATATAGGTCTTTGAGTTAATTTCCACTTTGTATTCAGTCACTTTACTACCACCATTGTCAACTGGTTCTGCCCACCGTACAACAGCAGAAGATGCTTCGATGTCTGTAACATTAAAGCTTGGAGGTCCTGGTGAAACTTCAAAAAGCAAAAAATAACAACTTCTTTGTATCATCTAATGAAGTTTGGTTTATGAACATTGAATTATGCTCTTGGTTTATTATATTGTTATATTCTATATATATCATAGCGTAAAGGCCAATTGCAAGTAAGATTCACATCCTCAATGCTTAACATAGAGTTAACTCTAAATTTCGTGATAAACCATTGCACTACCGTCAGCACAGGGCGCAAAAAGACACTAAATATGAATTACACACTGTATTGTATATAAATATTATCAACAATTATCAACAAGAGAGCTTACAAAGTTGTACCACGTTGATATTGCTTAAGTCGGTACCAGCAATGTTTKCTGCTCTACAAGTGTACATCCCATAATCAYCACTCTCTTCTGTCAGCACTGTCACCTCACTACCATTAGTARTWYTACGKACATTGGTAATACGGTYACCATTGGRYYTGTACCATGTCCAGGTTGGACTGGGTAGTGAGCTGGAAAGATTGCACCTCAGGGTTATGGTGTTACCAGACCAGGAA